AAAACCAAAAAATTTCAACCATAAGCACTTAAGATAGAGTGAAAGCAGAATCAAGAAACGTTACCAGTAGATAACAGCTAGATAAATTCTGAAAACCGCAGTTAATAATCACTTGGACGCTTACGAGTACTAATAACGTAAAAAGAAATAAACTACTTTTTACTTTTCGATAATCCCGAGAAGCTAAAGAAACAGCCGAAACAATGATGAAAAACAGTGATAACCGCCCCAACAAGCAATCAAGTAGGAGGATCACAGAAGAGAATAAAATATTGTATAAAGAAAAATAAGAAAACGTACCAATAACGAACAGATTTGCAACGAGAGCAGACCTTGGGGGCGGGGTTGGAGCAGGCTTCGCAAGGGGGGAGGTCGGTGTCCATGGGGATGGAAGGCATTGTTTGGTCACGATCGAAATTGGCGTCGACCTCGAAGTATTTCGACGCCTGGTTCTTCAGCAAGTGGAGAGCCCCAAACACGAAAATGAAGAGCGTCAAAATTAATTGCAGGAACCAATTAAGATCCAACGTTATTCCGCCGACATGCATCTACTCAGGCTTCTGGGTCTCGACTTTAGGGTTTTTCTTCATCGATTTTCCTTTCCCTTTTGGAACCACTCTCTCACAGATCCACCCTTTACCAATTTTATCAACTTCATTTTTATATTTTCATTTTAATAGTAACTACTCTCTTAGTCTGGAAACCTCGAAACCCGAAATTAGCAATGTCTTCTCCTATTTGAGTGGAATATACGCATGCATATAATTTTTATTATTTAATATCGAAGGTTCATATTTTTAATACTTATAACGTATATTTAAGAAATAATAATAATCTTTTTATTATTAAATTCGCTTGATTTATACAATAAATTATAAAATAGATTCCTTTTTTTACATGTTTCATATAAATATTTTAGAATTTAAATCTTTATAGTATCTTTTTTATAATTGATCAACTATTTTAAATTAAATATTATAAAAACCTATCATGAAATAAAGTATATGTTTGTTAACGCTAAGTCTAGAATAAGTTAAAACACTAAGGATGAATTGTTGGAAAATATGTAGAAAAAATATCAAAAACCTATAATATGATTGAGACAAAGGCATACTTACATTTGTATAAAAGTTTTGTATAAAAAAAACATTTGTCAATAAGTCATCGATCACCCCAAAAGTATCATTTGCATGAATTGGGGATTAGACTAATTAGTTGATTTAAACAAAGTATTATTCTAATTTATTTATTTATCTTATCTCTTAATTTATGTCATATAGTATTGTTTAAGTTGAGATACCAAATTGTGACGTGTTAATAGGATGATGAATCATTAAGTTTGTTAAGTTTAAAGCTTGGTTTGTATGTTGGAAAGATGTAAAGCTATTTCGAATTGTAGAGAAAGATTGTTGTGATAATCTATTGGGAAAAGAATTGGCGGACAAGGCTGGCATAGCCAATAGCAAGAATAATACAATTGGGTTTAGTTATCCCATACAACTCAGAAAAGGCCCAAGTATTCACATGGTGCCTTTGTCTGTTACCTCGAAAGCCCAGGCAATGGCATTGCTGTCCACGTTAGCTCACCTGCTCTTGCCCTCCTGCTTCATAAATACACAAGGCTCTAATCCCACAGCAAAATAATTCCTTTTAAATTCTATGAAACTCGGGGAGTTGAACGACTTCCAATGAAACACCACCACCTGTTTCTTTGCCGCCCAATCCAAAATTTTATTTTAATATATAACTGATACAAGTACCACTAGCTACGAGCCACGTAGCAAAAGGAGCGAATTCCATGCACACTGCTCGCTGCATTTACCTTGCTATATTAAAAGCGATACCCATTTTTATTTTAATTTTTTATTAATATGAGATAAATACAAGGTAATATATATTATAAGATAACTCTTAATATTTTAATATTGAACACTCATACACCTGATGTTCTCGATGCTCGAACTCGAGTCTCAAAAAACGATAATCGTTCATTTACTAAGGAGACCACTCGGTTCATGCAAGCTCTACTCATTTTTAAAATACATTTCTTCTCCTATTTGGTATTATATAATCAGAAAACAAGGTAATCAAACATTAACATTTTAATCTTATCAAATAATTAAATCCAACCTCAAGTTATTCAAATTCATATTAGTGTTTTACCTATTTTCAATAGATATGTTGAATTAAGGATGGATATACAATTTTATGTTAGGACCAACTTCAAAGGTTTTAAGAGGGTTTAAACTTTTAAAACTTTTGGTCCATTGATCAATCCAAAGAGTGGATTTGGATCATTACAAGTTTAAATTATTTTAGTATTTTATATCATATTTGGATCTCTTCCCACCACACTTGTAATTTGGAATATATTCAATTTTAAAACATGTTCGATCACGCGTCCTCTAGTGTATTATACCAATGATAATGTTAACTGAAATAAACTCTATCGACACAAATTTAATTTTTTTAGTTAAATCATTTCAAGTTCTAGTTATTTGTTTTAGTTATTTCAAATATAAATTATTTGTTTTTTTGAGACAATATTAAATTAAACAAAAAATTTATTTGAGTTGATTATGTCAAATTTAAAATTTGAATCAAAATTGAAAAAGTATAGAAAATAGCATTGTAATGCATATATATATGCATGTTTATAAAATAAGGTATTAAAGTGGATATAATTGCAATAGAGGGCGCACATGGATGAGCTCAAAGTTAATTGTAGAATAGTAGAATGGGCAACAACATATATAGTTTTATATTGCATGTATAATCATCTGCTCTCACTGATAATAATATTAAAATCCAAATCATAAGATACATCAGTTTTATATATTCAACACAAGTTGAAGAAAGGGGGAGTGTATCACATTAATCAATAATCTGTTTATGATTAAACTAATCCGTGTATTAAGGATGCTGCCCCGTCCAACCACTTGTCTTTTCAGTAATTAATGGAAGGTCATACTCATATAATAAAATTAAGCTGAGAGTATTAGGTAAATTACACGGGGCAATGCTGCAGCAATTGAGATAGTCGACTTAAAAAAAGGTACACAACAACGACATTTAACTGAGGGCTACATCTTGCATGTTGTAAAATTAGAATGTCGATTTTAAAATGGCTTGAGTTCAATTATTTATTAATTAAATTAAAGCATCTAATCAGATACAAATCAGTGTCGAAAATGTGCTGGCAAGTGGCAACCCGCCTTCTTCTGTCTTGCTTTCCATGGCTCATAGCCCCACTCTTCCACTCACCAAACAATATATATTACATCAAACGTTGACCTCCAACTTCTAGATCGGTTTCAATGACATAATGATCATGGACCGTTAGGCTATACTTAAAATATATAAACAAATTCAAAAAAAAAAAAAACCCGGCGATGAGCAACAATTACCTGGCAAAGCAAATGCACGTTTGGTACTTGGCTGTACCATTGCAAACGGAACACCCATTCCTTTCGTTTATTGACATGTTGATTTCTTATGGTTTTGCTTGCTCAAGAATCATAAACATGCATGATTAGGAGGGCTTCACTCCACTTATAAAATAATCATTTGCTCTCATTATTAAGCCAATCAAACATAGTCTCAAATATTAAATTCAAGCTCATGATGCTATCGAAGAATCACACTAGTTTACTGAAATGTCAAAACATTTTTTTTTAATTTTTGGTATGCCATTTTACTTTACAACGTCAGTAAAATTTAGATCCTACAATGTTCCCATATTTTTACAAATCCAATGTTACAGTGAAACTATACTTTAATTAGTTGATCAAATAAATAATTAATCATATTTAATAACAAAAGCCAACCATAAAGGTGATCTAACAGGAAGTAATTAAATTAACCTAAAATGGATAATAATAAACACAAAGATTCTCCATCAACAATCAGCACCACCCGTTTCTCAAATTGCTTTCCTCTAGTTTTGTTTAGTCCGAGTGGTGTTGTCAGAGGAATAAAAAATATTAAGATTTTGTTAATCAATTAAGTGTTCTTTTATACATAATTTATAATAACATTCAAAATCTTATTATATACTTGATAATGTGACATTCCTTACATGTGTTCTAGTTTAACAATAATATACATTATTAATTTTTTTAAGAAAGTACTACAATGGTAAGCTTTTAAAGTAACTTTTTCTTTGAAGGGATACCCGTACTATAGATCATATAATAATTACAGAATTTAATTAAAACAAAATATAATCAAATTGACAATTAAAATACATATCACATGAGATAAGATTTTAATTTAAAATTTTCATAATATCAAACTATGATGTCGCTTGACTAAATTAGTGAAAAATTATACTGAGAATGAATATTTATACTTCTGATTGTAACTGTAATAAAGGAAACTTTAATATTCAAGCACAATTAAAAGAAATCAAATTGATATTGTAACATATATGAAATTAATTTATGTGTTTTGAGAAACTGAATAATTTAACGATGTATAATAAAACTTCACCAAAAATGTGTCAACTCGTTAAATAATTCGAATATATATATATATATATTAAAAAATATAACATAAAAAATTTAATTTAATTAATATGTGTAACATTTTATGTCAAATATATTTTAATTTAAACATTAGTGAACAAAATCCTAACGCGTCACCTAGGAATAGTAGATGGCGGACGGGAAAACTTTTAAAAAACTCCCGATTCTAGTTTTAACTTATATTTTTATTTTCCGCGGGAGAGAGAATCAATCCTCGATATTACAGTGTAAATATTACTTATAATACGCTCAATGTTAAAGTAATAATTTCTTCCCCAGAAACGTCGAAAAAGTAAGGGAAAAAAGGCCAAGAACGAGGAGAGGGATTGTCCAATCGCACATGGCATCTTGTGCTTCGCCTCTCTCCACATCTTTCTTTTCTTTTCAATCACATGCTCTCCTTTCTTTCTCTTACAAAAACTACTCTCGTTTTTCTCTATCATCTCAACACTTAGTTGCTTCGTTTTTTAGTATATATATTTTCCCATTAGCATTTGAAGGTTTATTGACTCAATTGTTGAAGAGAGAGATATTCCTCAGTTCTACAGTGAAGAAGTTTTTTTTTTTTTGGTTTTGGCTTTTGTTGTCAACCCAAGACTCTGTTCTTTGTATGAATGATTGTGATTCAATCTCAGATCTACAGTGGAAGGGGATTTATAAGTTTTGGCTGTTTTTGTCAACTTTTTGCTTCTTCAGCTCCTGAAGACTCTGTTCCTTGCAGTAATGGTCCTCGTGATTCAATCTTAAAGGTTAGCTTACTATTGTGTTCGTTTCGGCTTGTTTAATCTCACTTTATCGATCGATTTCGTTTCATTCAAACGAATCTTAGTATTCTCCTAGCTTCGTTCTCTTAATTCAGGTTTGAACACGACTTTAGAATGTGATACAATTTTGTTAATGTCAATTAAAGTCCTTAGTTTCTAGTCAAATTTAGCTCAGCTCAGATGACTTTGATTCCCTTTTTAGTCCCCGAAACTTGGACCACTTTTCTTTTCATCTTTCAATAGTTCTCCGTTTCCAATTGTTTTCTTTACTTTCGCTGTTCCAAGCGCTGTAAACCTTTGTCCTATAATTCGCTTTCAAATAAAATTTGATTTGAAATGAAGAAGCAAGGCTGGAAAAAGTCTAAGAATCAATTGATTTATTTTTCTTCCGTCGCTTTACTATGGATACTTTACGTTCTGAAATTAATTTTCTCAAACAGGTTTTGTTCTGATTAAAAGGTGCTTTACAGAGAGTAGTGAAGGGTGTCTTTGTTATCTCTTTTGATGCTCATTTATGTTCTGAACATTTCAGAGAGGTAGCAACTAACATGGCTTATGAGATGGAGACCGATCAAATTGAAGACATGGACGTGGAAGTCCTTTCTTCAATGTGGCCTGAAGATGTTGGAAATGAAGCTGGAAAACAGTTTAATGTAGAAAAGCCAGGAGGTGAACAAGATATGTTGCAGGAGGTTACAATTGTAGAGGAACCAACTATAGTTGATTTTCAGCGTCTTTTAGAGCTGACAAAATATACTGACAAAGGCTCATCTCAATTAGCATTCCTTGTAAAACACTGGGAATATAAGCAAGCAAATGCTGTTCGTCTTCTTAGAGAAGAACTTGACAATTTAAGCAGGCAAAGACAGGAATCAGAGCTTAAGAAATTGGAGATATTGGAACAGCATCGTTTCGAGGAGGAAAGATATGGAGGAGATAAACGCCCGATTTCCATACTGGATGAAGTTCTTGATATATGGCAAGAAGTTCCACGGAGGAAAAATGATGTCGTGGTTCCAACTAAAAGAGTTGAAATTGATGCAGAATATGACACAGTTATATACTGGAAACAGCGAGCCATGCATTTGGAGAAAATGTTGGAAGCAAGCATCAACAGAGAGCAGAATCTGAAGGAAAAATTGCAAGAAAGCATACAAAAACTGGAAAAGCAGTCCTCACCAGTAGAAGAGTTGTCCCAGATTCTTGAAAGAGCAGATAATTTCTTACATTTCGTACTTCAAACAGCCCCCCTTGTTTTTGGACATCAGGTATAATTTCTTACATTTCGTACTTCAAACCGCCTCTGTTGTTTTTGGACATCAGGTAATCATGAAAGGTTTAGTGAGATGAGATGCTGCCTCCCAAATAAATATGTACTGCCCCAACCGAATTCATGAAAACTGTACATTCTTAATTCATTGCATTAAGTTTTTGAACAATGTCAATTTAAAAGTTAGTGTGTGATCATGTGAACAGGATGAGAAATCATCCAATATATCTTTTAGCGAAGAATCCACATATGCTGATTTTAGCTGCTACTGAAATCCTCAATATACAGCTTTTCTATTGCCTACAAGTAGATATCAAATGAGTAAAACTTCTGAAATTTGATCAGAATGTGTATTTTCTTTATTAAATCAAAACTTTATATGTTGATTTTATATCATCCTTTTCAATTACTATAGAAAGTACTTTAGCTAATGAAACTACTTTGATCAACTTCCAGGATAAAGAGCTGCGATATCGCTTCATTTATAACCCTTTTCCAAGCTTACAAGAGGAGGTAATATATTGCCCCAGAAGTTCTTAATCAAGGTTTGATGATCTTTTGTTAAAGTGTTGGTTGTGAGATCATATTTTTTTCGTCGTATTAAATTTTTGTTTTCTTTGTAACTTCCTCTCTCACCTTCTGCAGTTCTCCATTGACATTGAATTGCATAAGAATTACCTGAAACTTAATGCGTGTTCTTGTTTCAGGATATTTTAGGAAAAACGGATGTGGAAATTTTCACTGGTTCTGGTGTTAAGGAGTCCCAGGATTTTAAAAAAGAAGTGATGGAAAAAGGATTACCTGCAAAGAGGGAAATCACATTTGAGACAGAGTTGTTTGGGTCAAAGACTTTCTTGATATATGTGGAACCTATTTTTAGCAAAACAGGGGAGACTATTGGTATAAACTATATGGGCATGGATGTTACTGATCAGGTATTTTCATTTTGTTCAAATTGGTTGTCTAAGCTATTAACTGAGATGGAGAAGCTTGGGTATTTATGTTTCTGGTTGCATAAAAGGTAAGGAAAAGAGAAAAGATGGCAAAGCTTCGAGAGGAGATTGCAGTACAAAAGGCAAAGGAAAAAGAACTCAACAAAACCATACACATAACAGGTTCATTTACTTAGTGACATCTAAATATCTGTGAATTTCTCTTTAGCTAGTTTTTAAAGCTCTGTAGTAAGTCTTGACTTTCCCCTTTACACTACACTTCCTGTAGAGGAGACAATGCGTGCAAAACAGATGCTGGCGACCATGTCTCACGAGATAAGATCTCCTCTATCTGGGGTTGTTAGCATGGCCGAGATACTTTCTACCACAAAACTTGATCGAGAGCAAAAGCAATTGTTGGATGTCATGCTGTCTTCTGGAGATTTGGTCCTTCAACTTATAAATGACATCCTTGATCTTTCCAAGGTTGAATCAGGTTCGGTTTTTACTTGATAAAATCTTATCCACGTTTTGTTTTTCAATTTTCATCCGTGACTAGTTGAACTTATTGTAGTTTATAGCCACAACTGCTGTGAGAGGTCAGGTTAAAATGATCTTGTAATATATGATTAGAAAGTTCAGTTTCTGATTCACAGTTCACATTATTGAAAACATACTTTTTTAGGCTATAGCTTCATATTTTGTTCAATAACAGACAGGCTATCATTCCCATAAGTTGGAATTTCTAAATATATCTTCCTTTCTATGTTTCTTTAGGTGTTATGAAGTTGGAAGCTACTAAATTCCGACCAAGAGAGGTGGTAAAGCATGTTCTCCAGACAGCTGCAGCATCATTGCAAAAGATTCTTACCTTGGAAGGACATGTGGCAGATGATGTTCCTATTGATGTCAGTGTTTTATCCACGTATTTCCACCCACTATTATATTTAGACATTAACTTTCGTTTTGCCATTTGCTTATTTTTTTCTTTGGAACGTTTTGAATTGATTTCAGGTCATTGGAGATGTGTTAAGAATTCGACAAATTCTCACTAACCTGATCAGGTACTGAATTATGACTGTTCATCAAAAAATCAAATTATCTTCAAAATATTGTATGGAATAGAGAGGTTGCACTGGTAGCATTAATCAGGACCGAATAACTGTCTGTTCAAAGAAATAAACATGTGCTACCGCAAGTGTGAAAGTAGTTTCATGGGAACTAATGGTTCTCAGTTACGCTGATAAGATATTTTAAAATATATTACCATTTATCACCTCACTTTCTCACATTTTGGGTAAAACCATTTTCTTTCTTCAGCAATGCGATCAAGTTTACACATGAAGGAAAGGTAGGAGTAAAACTTTATCTAGTACCAGAGCCGCCTTTTGCAAAAGAAGGATCTCAGCACGGATCTGATGGATCAACTGCTAATCAATCTACTACTAGTGCATCTAAAACAGAGTCATATACATCAACGTCTAAAACTAGCAGTGATCAGAATGAGTTTCATGGTAAGAAAAACGAAGGATTATGCCAAAATAATTCACATCGCGAACCTGGAACTCCAGTCACGAATGGAACAACAGATGGATCTGAAGAGCAAGTAGAGTTACCTGCAACAACAGTGTGGTTACGGTGTGATGTATACGACACTGGAATAGGAATACCAGGTACATATGAATGCTAACTTTAAATCATTACATGTCACGAAATCTGAGATTTTGTTGGTAATACATAAGTTGATTCAGGATGGGGAGTATTTGTTACATTTTCCTGTCTTTTCGCGTGACAGAAAATGCTTTACCTACTCTTTTTAAAAAGTACATGCAAGTCAGTGCTGATCATGCCCGAAAGTATGGTGGTACAGGACTAGGCCTCGCAATATGTAAACAGCTGGTGAGATCTTCCTTCTATAAAAAAATTATATTTATTTGGTTCCGAAATTTCGTTCTACAGTTGATATCAATCTATATAAAGTGTATGCTTGTAGCTAAGTTGTCTCCCCTCTTCTTATTTCTGCTTAATGAACCCATCTGGTAGGTCAAATAATAGAGAGACAATGAACAAAAAAAATCATATACTTCCATATTAGAATATAAGTAGCTTTTTTCAGTGCTTTTCAACTTCTTTTAGCTATTTTTTTAATAAAAAAAAAATCTTTTAGCTCCTCGTACAAGCCCATATACATATATACACACATATCTGACGCATTTATAAACTAAGATCTTATATGGAAAGGAGAAATTTAAGCAGATTACTCCAAACAATAGCCCAATTTCAAGATCATGAAAAAGTTGGGAATTTGTGATGCTGTGTTTTATGTACGTTTTCTTTTGTTCTTGAGAAGTTTAAGCAATTAACATATGCAGATATGACACTCTTGCTTGTACCAAACCTAACAGCATTCATGCTTTTGGAATAGGTTGAGCTGATGGGCGGCCGCCTTACTGTGTCCAGTCGAGTGAATTGTGGTTCTACATTTACGTTTATTCTACCTTACAAGGGTTCTACATCATGTGATAGTTCTGATGACCCAGATGACCTCTCGGATATGGTTGATCATGATGCTATGGATGAAGATGAAACTGCTGGCTTTTTCCAATTCCTGCCGCGGACTTTGGGATCTCTATTCTCTTCAAATGGATCTAGCAGAACACAAAAATTAATGCCACATAATATTGGCTACGCAAAGTCGCATAAACTTGATGGATTGTCAGAGAATTGTTATTCATTCCCCATGAATAATGGTCCACCAAAGGAGATAGATTCAGCTGTACAGATATCATCCGAGCCTGGAAGTTCAATTAGTCACAGTTGGGACCCTGATAATAAAAGTTGGATTTGCTCAGAGAAAAGCCAAGCGGTGGAAATGAAAATCAATACAAGCGGGCCCCAGCTCCCTCCTAAGAGGCAGAAGAAACCTGATGTGGGTTCCCTTTCCAAATTAAACGGCCGTCAACAAGTATTGAAGAACTCTACCACCTCAAAGCCTAAGATCTTACTTGTGGAAGATAGCAAGATTAATGTAATGGTGGCACAGTCAATGTTGAAGCAGTTAGGCCACACGATTGATGTTGTGAACAATGGTGCTGAAGCTGTCTGTGCTGTTCAGAAACACGGTTATGATCTTGTCCTGATGGTAATTCTTTCAATTCCTTAATCTGTTTCCTATGTTTTTGCCCCATTCTTTTGTGGCAGTGAAAACAAAAGGAAAGCTAACTCCATGTTTAGGGATGAAATATGCATGCATGCATTTGAATTCTGAAAGCTCATTTATGTTGCAGGATGTGTGCATGCCGGTCATGGATGGCCTTCAAGCAACAAGATTGATTCGTTCCTTTGAAGAAACTGGTAATTGGGATGCAGCAGCAAAGGTTGGGATAGAGCAAGATTCATCACAACCAGGTCATACATCTCCAACTAAGCGAATTCCCATAATTGCGGTGAGCCAGTCACTTCTACTCCCTCAAATTGAACTCATATCAATTAATTTATCACCAAAATTCTTAATGCACTGCTGCAATCATAGTCATTTTTCTAATGTTAAACTGTATGCACAAATGCAGATGACAGCAAATGCATTGTCAGAGAGTGCGGACGAGTGTTACGCAAACGGTATGGATTCATTTGTTTCAAAGCCTGTAACTTTCCAAAATCTGAAAGAGTGTCTTGAACAATATTTGGGCTGAAGGACACATGTTGTAAATGACGAGTATGTATAGAAAATTGGCAGAACATGGTAGCAAAGTTTTGTCAATGTATCTTCTTCTTATTCTCACCCATTAAACCATCTCTCCATAGATTGTTTAGTTGTATGCCCTTCTCCGACAAAATAAAATTCAAGTTTCTGAATGAGTTTTGTCAAATTTATGGTCGTTGGGGGTCACTGTCAATAGCTTCACCGAGTGCACCAATTTTGATCATTATTACACGATCAAATGAAAATAGAATTTCGTATTAAAGAAGTCAGTGTAATATTTGAATTGGTACAAGTTTTTATATCATTAGTTTGGGTTGCAAAATTACTTTTCACCGTAGTTCTTCATAAAAGATGAGAAGTAAAAAGAAACACATGTGGGCTAGTGTTCCACAGCCACAAACAAGAAGCGACGGAGATTGGAATTGGATTGATTGAATCAGGTGTGAGAGCAGTGGTGAGAAAAGGAGAATATTTAGGTTATATATATAGTGAGGAGTATGTTAGGTCATTTCCCTTGAAGAGATTCCCGATGCTACAAAGTCAACCTCTTAATGTGCAACTTCACATGTAACCTGAAATGAAAGCGACGTCTGCATATGTACAAAGTATATGTGCAACTTCACTTCTCCCTTATAGGTTGATATACGAAGTATCCATGAAGGATTGTATTTTGCGTGACCTCTCCAAATCGATTGTACACAAACTATAAAATTGATTGTCAATAACAGGGGTTGGTTCAAATGGTAAGGAGCTTGATATCACGAGTCTTTGTGTGTGTAGAAAATCCCTGTTGGAAGGAGATTCATCCACCAAAACTAAGTGTACAACGCGGGTCGGTCTGGATTCTTCAAGGCAAAGCCTTAGAATTGGGAGCCTTATTATTAGTTTGTTGTCATTGCTTCTAACAAGTTCTAACCTATGGACAAAAATTTGAATAATAAAATATTGATAGTTGATGCTATTACTAAGACACAAACTCTTTTAAATTTGATTTAATCTTCTACAATACTGTTTTTAATATAATTTGTTATCTTCGGCGGTAGATGTACATGGGATACAAGATGAGCATGTGAAATTTTATCTGTGTCCACTCCATATATATAAAGTTTGTATCGTGTATATATATATATGTCTATCCTAAAAAAAATATTTCTGAATCAACTATTGATTATCCCAAATGAATATCGCCCAATCCAAGCGGCCAATAACTTTATAAAGCAAGGATTATTGGTAATGGAGATATTTTTGTGAAAATACAAAACCTATAATCTCAAAATTCCAATAAGATTTGGTGAGTGGAGAGTAATGATTGCATCATACAACAAGTTAAAATAATCAAACAAATCTATTAGGATCCATAATAAGATTCCATTTTAGTTAGTTGCAATCAGTACATGATTAGTAGTAGTAGCCATGAATGAACGAAAAGCAGAGACAGAAGGTGAAAAATGTAATGAACGAGACTCTTGGTATTTGGAAGATCCCACCCTCCCTCACACCCAAATGTTGTAGCTTTAATCACTACATATATCCAACAAAACATGCACATCCTTACCACTGGCTTTTGGTGTCTTACCTCTACAGATACGCCATGAAGTGGGATTCCCATCACTACCCATTTTGATTAATTATCTCCATAGTAGCCCACCTTATCCATCAATCATGCTCGCAGTTTCTCCCTCTTATATACAAATAAAGTGAAGGCTGAAGTTATATGGAACGTAGAAATGGTAAAAGAAGAGTGAAATACATTATACAACTGATGAAAATCACAAGATAATATTACCACTACCCACAAAAGCGATGATTATGCTTTTGTTATATGTATAATGATTGTAGCGGATGCCTCCATCAGCAATACTCAGTGCGTTTTAACTGTATCTCCCTCTCAATGGGCTAATGTTTTCAAAGGCAGGGCAGGGAAAGATTCTTGTTCTACAATAAACAATGCTCCTCTAGGCTTGGCTCCTAATGATGGTTAATGGCCAAGTTTAGGACATTCCTTTGTTGGTACCATCAGATATGAGTAAGTCCATTCTTGTTTTTATACGGAACACAAATATCCAAGATTTAGATTTGTAGAAAGATAATCAGCATCAGGTTAAAAGATCATACGCATACTTTTCTTTTTTTTAAAGTCTGGTTTGGTGTAGTATTGTATATGTAATTGGAAAAGCACATTTATCCAAAGCAATGTGCAATGCCCCCGCCAATGCTAAGTTTAGCTGCTTATAAATAACAGCCAGGCCTGGCTTTGTGTGTGTGTTGATCAGGTGCTTTAACCTTCATTTCCTCTACCACCATTAAACAATGAGACCTATTAAGGCAAAAGCAGTAGCATCACCAAAGCCCTTGATGATATCTACACCACGTTCCCAATGGCACTCCCCTGTGCCCTACCTCTTTGGCGGCCTGTCAGCGATGTTGGCTCTCATTGCTTTTGCTCTCCTCATCTTGGCTTGCTCCTACAGAGCCGTCTCTGCTCGCTTGGGCAATAATAACGGCGGCGGAGGAGGAGACGACACCGAGGACGATTCAAACAACCAAGTTAAGGTTTACGAGGACCAAATACTGGTCATGATGGCTGGTGAACTCACCCCCACCTTCTTGGCTACCCCTGTTTTCAGTAAAGCTTCCATTTTTGGTGATCAAAATGGTGACTCAAAAGACATGCAAGGATCTGCTGAAAACGATGATGAAAATGAAACAAGAAATGGACGATGATCATCATCAATCGCCAACGATTACACACAACCATGAGAGACAACAACAAAGCCAAGACCAAAACTGAACCACTTAGCTGATTTCCGTTTATTTTTGAGAGAATTTTCTCTATTTTGATTTTTCTGTTGGGTTTTTCCTTATTAGTCCCCAGAAGTTGCTTGTTTGTTTTTTTGGTCATCGGGAAATGTAAACTGTGTCATCAAGATTTGTTCATGGAAACTGGGGACACTCGCACACCATCAATTGCTCCCAATACGATTTGTTTATGGAAAAGCAAACCTTAAGCAACTGCACAGCAAGTCGACGGTAGCTATTGCTTTCAAATCACATTAATTTAATTCCCACTCTGTTTTTGATGACCATCTATTTGTTAATAGATATGACCATTGCCGAAATTTTGAAGATAGAGATGTTTTGAGGAACATTTGAAGTTCATTCACAACCTTTCCGATCCTTAACACTCGGAAAATTTTAACTGCTACAGAAGTTGTTGGGTCTATTATCTTGCTATGAAAGCGCTTAATTTTGCTACGAATTAAAACCACAAAATTTAAATATATATATTCACGAAATTATTCATAAGTACTTTATTCATGACTAATAAATAAATTAATCACAGATAAACATATTTTTTTTTATCTTTTAATTTAATAATCAAACTTAAATATTTTTAAATACCTGAATGTAAAGAACACCCAACCGAAAAGTGAAGTGAGGTGTGAACAAATATTTCAAGAGTCAAACATGATGAGTAACACAACACCCTACACCAAACCGTGATTAGCCACCTCTTCATGTAATTTTCTTCTTGGAATAAGGAAACAAAGACCAAAACCAATAATATTGACGATAGTTTCCTTTCTAAATTATACTTTCTGAAAGGGAACATCACAAACATGGAAATAACTACAAGAGAAACAAATTTGACTACAACATAAAAGGACTTGAGTCTTGACATTCTTTACATAAATTCACAACTGGAAACCCCTTCTATGTGCGTGATACAAAGATTTTTCTTTTCTATGACCAACTATTACTATTCAAGTTTATTTCGACTCAATTTTTTTTGTTAGCAACATAACCGAAACTTAAAACCATGCTAGGAAGGGATGTGTTAAGCAGAATCACTACAAGAGGAGCCACTTTGATTGGCCAGTTGATTAGCCAAGAAACGGACGACAACACAAGTGATATTATCTGCGCTACCTCTCTCACATGCCTCCTGCATCAGCCGTTTCGCTGCATGCTCGGGATCCTCTATTGGCTTTACCATTGCCACAGCCTCCTGCAAAAGGTAAACAGCAGTTATGAAGGAAGCTAACTATGCTCAATTCTGAATCCATTTAGAGACATCAATGGTTAATGGGAGTGTTGTTCTCCCTTGCGGTCCTGGATTTGAGCAGCTGCCTGTAAGGTTTGTGTGCATTGTCAATGGCTAAGAAAAATCCTGTACAGATACGACCTTATAATCACCCCGGACTAATTAAAAAAATTATGCTCATTTCTTCAATTAAATAATGTGAGGAAAATAAAATGCTACCGCCCATTGACAGAATCAAAATGCTGCCAGTTTTTGCCAAACTACTACCAAGATGCATCAAGTTAAGAAAGTAAAGTGTTTCATACCTCGTTTGAAACAACATCCCACAGTCCATCACTTGCAAGAATAAGGAACTCAAGCGAGCTGTCAACTTTTTCCTCCTGCAAGCTCAAATAAGATACACGAGTTGTAGAATGCTTAAAAATCAATAGTCGGAATCCTATAAAGTTGTTAATCCCCAGGCAGAAATCTAACAATTAAGGCTACATGCAAAGAGCGGCTGTAAACTGAGAGAAAGCTGATGAGACATATTCCCCCCCTCCTCTGAATCTTGGTGCAAAACAGGATTTCCTTTGTTATAGGTTTCTGTCTTAATTATAACAATCCAATCTTCCGAACGGACCTGGATTTCTGGATCAGCAACAACATACTGCTTCAATAACCTGTCACCAAATGCACGAGAGACAGCAAGAACACCTCCCACTCTCCAAGTTCCTACAGAGATGATTTCCGCCACAGTAAATGAATAAAAGGAAGAAATTTTACACACAGAAAAGCTTATACAGAAGATAGGACGGTAAGAGAGGAACAGAGAAATGGCCAAATGTATTCCGCACCAGCCCACATGACAAATCCTCCTGCATCCTCAATCCTTTGTCGTTCATCACTTTGATCTGGCTTGTGATCACGAGACACGGCATAAGCTGCAAGGGAATATCATAGATCAGCCAGCAATCAAATGATTCTTCAACAAGATTATCAAAAACCTTAATTCACGCCTACACTGGATGGGCAAAGGAGCAGTTACATAAGAAAGCATACTGTGTTAAACTCGTTTGAAGTAAAACATAACATATAGAGCTTTCATGTTACAGGTAAAGCTAATGGCAACATCACATGTTTCAGATATCAGATGAATATAAAATAGAAAAAAACAATAAATCATACCTTTGCCGCCTCTGCAGATAACAGCTCGAGAATCCCCAACATTTGCAACTAGCAATCGATCACCAACAAGTACAGCAGTAGAAGCAGTAGATCCAGCATCCCTATTTTGGTTATTTTCTGATTTTAAAAATTCAGAGTCTGTATGGTTGTATGCATCAGCTGGAGTTGGAAACAATTTGAAAAGACAAGTTAGACAAGCCAACTAGAAAAGACAACTATACAATGCAGTAACAATGTGGATAACCTATAGCAGATTTGGTGTCAGATATGAACTTTGGATGCCTGATCAAATTACTGAAAAGGTTATGCTTGACATATTCAGCTGCCCGAGCACCTCCATGACCTGAAAAAGCCTTGCGTGTAAAGATTGAGTGAACAATCAACTAACTAATCATGACAAGCCAGCAACAGATTCTTTAATCTTACAGCAGTTATGATCTTAATGATGCATGGTAAAAGAATATTTTCTAAGGCAGAATATAATGAACAGCCACAGCATAGAATTTATAGTTTACCACAGAACTGTCCTGAGCCAATAACAGCCCATGAGCAATGGCTTCCAATATTGCTACCACAATGAAGCAGATAACTAATACCGGAATATGCCTGAAATCCTTTCAGATACGTTCTCTATGCTGAAACTTGAGACTACACTTGTATTGTCCAGCAAACAACAGTGTATCTTGCTCTACTCAGACTCCCCGAGGGATCAGAGCAAAACCAAGGAAGAAAATGCTCAACTTAGAACAGAAAGAGATTATCAAATGAAGAAAGGCTAAACTGGAGGAAAACAAGAATTATACACTCTTTAACACAAATTATAATGGCCACTAATGTTACAAAAAGTATTTACCTATATGTAGGACGAGTTGTGAAGTATACATGAACCATTAGAAAGATATGTGCAAAAGCATCGGGGAGAGATACATAGATAAAGTAAGAGAAATATACCATCAAAAACTCCAAAAAGACCAACTATCTCTCCATCAACACCATCAATTCTTGTTTCATAAAAATCTTCCATTGAAGACCTCTTTCCAGGAGAGCTTGCGTAGCCGTAGCTGAACTTTTCATTCTGGCTGTTGCCATAAAACAAGGGAAATTTGATTTAGACATGTATAAATCATTGCTTTTTCAGGAAAAGATGTAAACTCACTGACCATAGACTAGTTATTATCATCAAATCTAAGCAAAAAATATTTCACGACTATTGATGTAATTGTTTCTGTGCTTCATCACAAGTACAAATGATATTTCTTCAGGTGTACTCATTGCAGACAAAAATTCAACAAAATTAATTTCCTACCATTCAAAATACAAGACATAAAATACGTGACAAAACCATGCAGTAAATTTTTTATGCACAAAATGCAATATATTTAGGTCAAAGACAGAAAGGACCAAAAACTGCTTTGTCGGGACTAAGAAAAAACAGAGCCTGGAAGCAAAAAAATAATTTGTTCTTGCCTGAGTTATATTGGCAACACGACAAACCGTCTTTTAATCCTGATCCATAAAGAATGGAACAAACAGGAAACTAATTCATTCGCCATGTGATGATTGAGAAATTATCACTTTGGTTGAATCAAAAACTACAAATTCAGGATTCCATTGTAGGTTTCTCCAAACTCGTGCAGTGAACAAACCATTAAAAGGTAAAGATCCACAATAATTTAACATGCATGCTAATCTATATTTGTAAGTATATGAACTATCCAAATTCAAGGAGGTTAAGCATGCATTTCAAGAATAAATTCATTTGTTTTAAGTTACCTCTTTTCATTTTGTCTACTTTTGCTAATGATAATGATTACTAATCAGATGCCTTACTAATTAAGATATATTCCAAGGTTTAACTGAAAGCAAGCTATCCAATGAGCATGGATCATCGTAGGCAAGGAAAGCAAAGTAAATAACGGATATCTCAGGAACTCTAACTATCGAAGTTGATCTCTACATAAAAAAAATCGAACAATTAGCATCAGTCAGACAAAGCGTGAAGAGCAAAACACGTGTTGAACCATATGGAAAATGAATATGGAGTAACTTGCAAAGCAAAAAAGGCACCAATCGAAGAAATTGAAGGTCGAAGCAAAGAATAATGAGAAGGAAAGAAAATAGAGAAGCATAAACCTAAGGCCTCCGCCGCTGACCGATCGGTATTCAGCGTGAACCTGATTCGAAGATTGCAAAACAGAGTTCAAATAGCCCATATTACAGCTCGGGCATTCAGAACTTTCACTTCTTATCACTAGGATCCAAATCAGGAAACAACAAAACGTACGCCTAATTTGCATGCTAATTAAAACCAAACAGTATCCAAATTTTCTGGATCACCGCAGATCTTAACCTGCAAAGCAACAAAAAATTTGCAGATACAATTCAAACTAATTCCAACACAATAAATGAAACTTGAGGAATGATTAATATAAGTGAGATCATTATCGGTAAAGTTTTAATGAAATAAATAAATAAATGAAGGTGGTGGACCGGGGAGAGGAAAAGGTTTACCTTAACGAAGGGAAGCGAGAGAGAGAACAAAGCGCTTAAAAGGCGGTTTAATGTATAAATTACAGCAGAAACTCTTTAAATTAATACTCAATAAATTAATAAATTCTCTACAATAATAAATTTGTTCGGTCTCAACTTGGATCAATATAAAAATTTGAAAAACTCGATAAAATAATAGAATAATAATTTTTCGTGAGATCCTTTATAATTTTCGGTCCCAAGAAAATCATAAATTAATAATTCATAGAAACTGAAAAAAATATGTTACACTCTATTGAAATATATTCAATAGTTGTCTATTTTTCTTTAAAGTTCAAGTCTATTTGGAGCTCATTATTAATTTAACTCATCTCTTGCAACGTAATTTTAAGAGACATAGACTAATTTGTCTTTTTGTTTTGTATGTACAGTATAATTACTTAAAAACTCTTTAAATTAATAATTATTAATTTATTGATAAATTAATAATTCTCTAAATTAATAAATTTCTCCGATCCTGACATTATTAATTTATAGAGTTTTAACTGTACCATAAAAAAATGGACGGGTCAAATTGTTTTTTTCCCTATACAGGTTTAATTTTGCACCGAGTGCAAATGGAAGGTTCAAGAGGATTGTGGTGTGCGTAGTTGGGTTACAGGTTACAACCTCTTTTATTGGCATGTGATGTGTAGTGTCCTCGTGGCGGAGCTTTGAGCTATATTCAATGGCTGCTTAGTAGCTTGGGATGCTGGGTGTCCGAAGGTAGTGGTTGTTTTTATTTAAACTAAAATCAATTATTAGTATAGATACAAGTAGAAGATGCTTGAAACTAGAACCATTGTTGCTATCAGCTACAAACTTAGGTGCAGCCACCAGTTCCAAAACCAATCCTTCCTCTACCACCATCGTATACCACTTCCAATGTCTTCTGTTGTGTATTCCCGAGAATCGTCACATCCGAGTCATCGTCGTTTCTGGCAAATGCTAAGCACACTTGCGAGATACCATTAAAGTACAAAATTCCCTCTGGATTATGGGAACCCCAACACCCCTACTGAACAAGAAGCTTATCTCAGGTATTGTAACAGTAGAATGCTTGCTAGTCATAACATGTGTCCAGTATAGAAAGTGGCTGTGCCCTCGGATATTGCTTCAGCTCTCGTCTAAATGCAGATCTTAACGCTGAATAGGCAGCCAGTGTTAACCTTGTGATGACAGTTCCAGAGTCAATGATGGTGCAACCGGCTGCGAATTTTTTCCGCATACGCTTATTCCGGTCATGTTAATACCGTAAGAGGATTCTCCTTGGGGGATTGTTGATAATGTTGTCAATTTTACAGATTTTGAGATGTGACGGTTGCCAAATCTAAGGAAGCCAGTTGAGCTGGGGATGATGGCAGGCAGTAGGAAAATATTTTCTTGTACTTTACGGCCGTTTAAGAAGGCAAAGATAGTTTATCTCGGCCAAGTCCTAGCAAACCAGCTGCGCCACCGAAAAGACCTTGGTTGTTTTGGCCGCAACCGAAGAGAAAGTTATTGAACGCATCCCTTGATGTCAAGGTGAGCTTTATTTTAGCAAAGAATCCAACTGAGAATGACGAGTCCCCATATTGGATGCCATAAACACAAGCTGATGATGAGCAATTAAGCGAGTTACCTAAAATCATACATATAAAAATAATGAATTAACATTTTAACACAAATCCGATGGGACCTGAATCGGCCAAAGAAAATTACATGTTGCATAAATCTGTGAATTGCAGGTAGTTGAGCCGCAGGAAACATTGGATTACGTTGAGGATAAGGAGGGAGGAAAAATAAGATCCTTCTGTTTATAGCAAGATCTTAAGCAGGGCTTGCATTGTGTCCATGTGATGTCGCTTCCAGTATCGAATATGAGAGACAGATCCTTCTTTGGGGTGTTGAGGCCCACTGTGACTATGTAATTACCCGACCCCACCACGCTACCATCCTTGGACGGGAGATTGACATTATCGCTCTGCTTCACATTGGTGAGGCCTTGGTTCTTGGCAAGCTTTGAGTGAATGTACTTGACCCAGGCTTCGTCTTGGAGGAGGATTTCGGCTTGAGTGGAAATATTTGCTTTCTCTCGTTGGAGCTGAGAGCACGGGCCATGCTTGTGGACAACCGATAAAGAGGAGTACTTGTCCGAGGCTAAACTTCAAGGACATGCACAAGTCATAGAACTTCAATACTAGAGTATCATCCTTGTTAATGCACAAAAAACAGCAGTAATCATTTCATAGAGAGAGATGATTAACCTTGTGCAGAAGCATCAGAGCTGCAAATAGAGGAGGGTAAAAGAGAGGCGACTTGGATGGCATGAGTGTGGTGATATTGAGGTGGATGGCTCTCAGCAGTGGCATAGCCCTCCTTCAAAGAGAAGACAATTAGGCATATATAAACAAGGAGTTTACTAGCAGAGAGGAAGGCGCCCATGCTACGCCTTTGTTTCTTTTTCTCATCTTAAAACCACACTCTCTATTACTATATTCATATATAGCAGTGATCTTTTATCTTAAAAAAAAATCTATTTAATCTACCTACCAACTATGTAACACCCCAACCCGTATCCAACCCGGATACGAATCCGAGGTGTCACATTGACTTTTCAAATCGTTTACTTTTAAAAGATAATTGAAAATTTAAAACTTTTATTTATATAAAAATGGTGGAAACCTTAATCAAAAGTAACCAATGGAAGTTTAAACTCAATTGAATTTATAACTCCATAATTTCCATAAATACAATAAGGTTTATTTACAAAATTGATCAAAGCATTTAAGATTCAAACCATTAATTACATGCCAACCACATTCAATATGACAAAATATCTACGGTTTAATTCGTTTTTTATCTAATCTTCTGAAAGGAGATGTTGACATGACTTGCCTAGCTTTGCTCTTATTGCTTCTCTGAACCTACGTGTGAAACACTCACATGCTAAGTCTTTGACTTAGTGAGGCATATAATTATTCTTAATAATAATCTCAAAATCAATCTTGTCCAAACAAGAAATAGAAATAATGTTCTTAGTCAAACTAGGAACAAAATAACAATCCTCTAAATTTAAATCAAGTCCACTAGGCAAAGATAAAACATATATCCTTATAGCTAATGCATCAACTCTTGCTCCATTTCTCATTCGTAGATCTACGTCTCCTTTAGCCAGATTCCTTCTCTTTTGCAGTCCTTTTACATATGTAAAAAATGATAACCACAACCGATATCTAATACCCAAAAAGTAGATGTTGACAAATTAACATCATGAAACAAACGTTTCGTTTGTTTTTGCCTTCTTGACCTTTTCAAGATAAACATGGCAGATTCTCTTCCAATGTTCGTTCTTATCGCAATGGAAACATTTTCCTTCCTTGCTAACTCCCCTTTTGGTTTTCAATGCATCTTTTCCTTTCAATTTGGTCTTACCATTGCCCTTATACTTTGTCGCTACCTTTTTCTTTCCCTTTTCTTTATCCTTGTGGACCATCAGAATGAGCTTAGGTCCAACATTTTTCATGTTACTTTTAGCAGTTCGTATCATGCCAAGTAACTGTGGTAAAGTCTTGTTAATTTCATTCATGTTGAAATTAAGGACAAATTGGCTAAAGCTATATGGCAACGATTACAGGATAACATCAGTAGCCAATTCATCTTTGAGAGGAAATCCCAACTTTTTCAACGTTTGGATGTAGCCCATCATCTTGATTACATGAGCTCTCACAGGAGATCCCTCTGCCATTTTGCATTGAAATAGAGCTTTAGAGGTATCGTACCTCTCTTGACGTGATTGCCCTTCATATATTTCCTTCAGATTTTGAATCATCTCATATGCAACCATGTCCTCATGTTGTTTTTGAAGCTCAGGAGTCATGGTGGCAAGCATTAGACATCCAACGTCTAATATATCATCCATATGTTTCTTAAATTTATCTTTGTCAGCTCTAGAAGAATTAGTTGTCGGTTTATCAGGAACAAGTTCTTCAATGATATATTATTTCCTTTTCTGTTTGAGAATAATTCTCAAATTACGAAATCAATCAAGGAAATTTATGTCATTAAGCTTCTCATTCTCAAGGAGTGATTGCAGTGATAAAGTGTTTATTCAAAATTAAAAACTCTCTATTAAAAATATTAAAGTAAGTAAATTTACTGAATTAAAAATTTATAAATAGGTATTTATTTACAAATTACTCCCACTATTTTATTCAAAATTAAAACCCTCTCGTTTTAATTTCAAAAAAAAATCAACGAAATTTTTTCTAGAGGGTGAGGATCCATAATTCATCAATTTCCTAAATCAGCTTTGGTTTTTCTTTTAGGATAGTGATTATTTAGGTAAGTAACACTTTACTAGTTACATCTCTTTTAACTCCTCCTTTTGGTGAACAACTCTTATTCAAATCATCTCACGACTTATCCAAATACTTAGCCTCTAGGTTTGTAATCCTATTAGAATAACCTAACTAAGTTATTACCAATAACTCAACTAATGAATATCACTTGCTTATTATTCGCGTTTAACCAAGATAGATTTATGTGTCAATGCTTTGACAAAGCCCATACAATATCGATCGAAGCCTTAACGAGGGTAAATATTGGACGGTTAAGTTAACTTAGATTATAAAGAGGGATTTGCGTAAATATCTCATCATTTTTCGTTTAATATTAGGCTCTTATTGATTTCATCAATATTCATTCTTATTTTAACATTTGTTGTATTACACACATAACAAATATAAGCAATAAATAAGATGCAATGGTTATATCCCAAAAATAATAACTAAGGTTGTCTATCCTAAGCCAATGGGAGAACCAAAACCCAAAAACCTATGACTGCTCTCTAGGTATCTTCTCGCCTTTAGCTCAGTCCGTTCTTCTGCTCATT